TAAAGCAAATAACACAGAGCCCTCTCATGTAAATTAGTCTGCCAAGAGCCAAGAGCAACCCCACGATGACTCTGCCATTCTGGTTTCCCTGGCTTGGAGACAGAGGTGCGTGATGATGTCCCCTTACCCTCTAGACAGCCTTCCCTGAATTTCAGTTTTTCTACTAAAGAATGAAATAGCCTTCATGAGTGGGGCCTGTTAGGAAACAAGATGCTGACTTTATACTGAATAATAACACCTGGGTCAGCAAAAAATCGACTTTAACCCTGGGTCCTTATGTTCAAGAGTGGATCCTTACAATTAAGTACCTAGGACATTACAAGCTACAAATGAAAATGGAACCATTCCTTTTAATAACAACTCTGACAGAATTGGGTCCCCATACCAATTCTATTTACAATACGGATGCACTGGCTTCTCTTGTCCCCATATCCTGGCTCACCTACCCTCCCACCTAGGACACCTAGGTCGAACTGCATGTTTACTGATGAGGGTCATGTTGGTATGAAGCGTGTGTGTGTAGGGGGGGTGCCATTGTTCATGAATCATTTCAAATTTAAAGACAGCCCAACTATGGCCAAGAATAAAACTAGCCCAGGTCAAAATATACTTGTAGCCTCAATGGAAACTGATGAGCCAGTAAGTGGGCGGGAATGGGGAAGTCTGTCAAAACTTTATGGAAAGAACCCGAAAGTCAGAGATGATAGACTTCCTGGCATAGATCCTGAGGCCCGACTATGCTTGTGTAATAAGCAAATGGTAGCCTGAGAGGATGAAAGCCTGTACCAGGAGTTTCTAACAATTCTGCCCCTAGGGAATTTCCTAGGGAAGAGGGGATGCTTGGAAATGGTCTCCCCACATAACTAGATTTTTCTTTTATTATAGCCACATGCTATAGGTCTTCTGCATACAACTGGACACACACAAAAAGGATTTGGATCTGAAGGACATGCAAATTAGCCACGTGGGAATTTTACCTTCTCTATACCACACTTCATCTGCTACATTTTTATTAAAGTAACAAAAGTGTACATTTGTTCATAAAGCTGTACATTTTCCACATAAAAACACTATTGTACAATTAGTAACCTTTGTCTTTTCTGTCAGAATAGCTTAGAAACGCACTATTATTTATTTTTACCTAATAAGAGAGACAGGTCTGCTCAACAGTCCAGCTCTGGGAATTCTGCTGTTTTTAAAGTGAACATCATAAAGAGAGGAAAGATTAAGCATGAGACCATGAGGCTGCTTCTAAAAAGGCAGGGACTCCTCTGCAGACAAAATACAACAAAGCAATCTGCAGTGATTCACAGCTTTGTTTCAACCCCACATTCCAGGAAATAAGCCGTTGGGACTGTGGGCCTGAGTTACCTTTAAAACAATAAAGACTGGAAGCACAGTCTGGGAAGAAGCTGGGATCTGGAAAGCCAAAGGAGGCAAAACTGGCAGGAATAGGTTGGGAGAGTGTTTGGTAAATAGCACCTATGAGTCAGAATTGAGTAGTTAAGAAACTCAGGAGAGGGGGCTGCAGTGGCGAGGGGACCTTTGGGGTGGAGGAGGAAGGTTCCTCACTAAGGAGCAACAGTAGGAGGGTAGCCAGGTTGACCAGGTGTTCTAGCTAGGTCTTTCTTAAGGTGATTCCGGTTCAGGAAATTCAAGGCCTTCTTGAGGACCCCTCTCTAATGTCACTGAGAAATCAAAGGAATGGGATTTCTTCTCAGTGTGGTTTTCCATTTTTCTCCAACCCAGAACAGTAAATATTGCACAAGTCTATAGACAAATTTGGATTGTACTGAGAGAGACAGCAACCTCTCCTAGAGGTGCTCTGAGCACCAGGGAGAAAAAACAATGCCCAAAGTTTGTTTATTAGTGTCAGCCCTACAAGAATACCAAGTAGTCCCGTAGAACTTGGGGTTTTCTCCCGTTTAGCCAAGGGATACCTAGAAGGCTGACCAGCCAGCCACAGTCCCGAGGACAGAAGGAGAGATGGTTCCATAAGTACACCAAAGCACCAAGGGGTTCTGAGAGCCAGTTCTCCTCCACGCCCTCCAGGGACTAGGAGGCCATATTGCACAGTGACTGAGAACTCTTGTTCTAGAAAATAGGGCAGCCCCATGACCCAACCAGAGGAGAGAGGAGCAGGAGAATTAAAGAGGAGTGTTGTGCTTTTAAAAAAGAAGGCAGTAATAAAGGACCTGGAGTTCCCTGTAGCTTTTGAGCTACCTCTCAAAGGAATAATGGCAGCATCAGGATTTTCATGTGGTTCCAAAAAGAAGGGTTTTGGCCAAAAACACATCCCTGATGGATACTCTTTGGGTCCTAAAAGTCCATTGCAAATCATGCCAAGTTTTTTGCCACACATACAGCAGAACATTGCAGAGCAAAGGTTTTGTACAGAGTGCCTTCCATGCCAACTCCAGAAACATCCAACCCCTGCCTTACTCCCCTGACCCCCACAAAACAAAAAGCTTGAGATTCCTGGCTGGGAAGCAACATCTACAGGCCCCTGAGGATAGAATTAGAAACAAGTCATGATTTCAAGAAAAGCTGCTTAGGACAGGAATCATTCTCTGCCCAGGATCTCAGAAAAATAAAAGTGAAAATTAGGCAACAGGAGTTAAGTCCAGGCTTGAATGCCCCTGAGTAAGAGAAAGGCAGGGATGCAGGTGTCCTGGCTGGGAGAGTGAGAGGTTTGAACTCGGCCTCTCTCGTCCCCGCAGGGCACATCCTAACCTCTCTCATTCACAGTTGCTAACCTTGCTTGCTCCCTCTCACATCTACCTGGGGTGCTGACCAAGCTTCTCCCACCTCACCTTGCTTAGGCCCACCCCTAACCACTCCCCCATCCCACAGACAGACACTGGTTCCTATATTCAAGCACACAACAGTTCTCTCCAAAGGCACCTGGGAAGGCTGCTTCCAAGCAGCACGCTTTAAGAATTTTTTTTTCTTTTAAAAAAGAATCTTTAGGTTTTCTCTCCCCTTTTCTTAAAAAAAATAATATATATAAATAGCTCTTCATTTAAAACACAGTTCCCCAGGTTGAGGTATGCAGTGGCCTGTTGTCATGGCAGGATGAGTACAGTAGAGTGCCAGTTGGGGGCGGCAGGGGAGCTAACTGGAGACGGCCATCACGTAGTTCTTGGAGGGGCTGCTCCTGCCCAGCATCATTTGGTTCTTGCAGGTGAGAAGCCCATAGGAGGCAACCAGCGGGGCTTCCTCGTACAGGACACAGATGGAGCCGTCCTCCCCGATGCGATAGGACACCTCGTAGGGGTCCACCCACAGGGTGAGTTCTCGGGGAAGCAGTCGGTGCAGCTGGGGCTGGCTGAGTCCGATCTGGCTGGCCACTTTGCTGATGATGGGGTCCATCTTGTGGTTGATGCGGATGCACCGATAACCAGAGCCCTTGGATGGCTTCTCAGGAAACCAGTGGTGTTTGTAGTGCTCTGTGGAGAGACAAGGGGGAGATGACCTGGTTATACCAGCTGGGTCAAGGGTGCTACTACTGCAAGGGAGATGAAGGGATAAAGGAGAGGAAGGGAACCAGTGATTTTAAGTCAATGAGGTGGTTTGTCATGACTTCCAGGACCCTCCTGAAAGCTCCCTCTGCCACTGTAGCAGAGAAATTTTATGACATCTAGAAAGCACTCTCCCTCCCCCCCAGGCTAGGGGTGTGTGTGCATTGGGACGGGGTCCCATAGTTCTGTCTGGGGCAATCCCTAGTAGCCAGTGTAATGCTTTGGGCACATTTGTTTCAGGAGGAAGGGTGTGAAATGCTGGCATGTTCAGGCAGGGCCTCTGGAGACCTACAGCTGAAGGTTCAAGGCCAGGAAGGCAATCATCATGGTCAGATTCACAGCAAGTTACTGGGCCTCCCAGCCTGGGGCCCAGAGGCTCTCTCTGCCTCCTTCAAAAGCCTTAGCTAAAGAGTCAAAGAGTTGTTTTGATGAAACGTATGTTGTTCCTTACAAGGCAAAACTTGTGCGGGCACATTCGGGGACGGCTGTCGCTACCCAACACTACTGGCCAACGGGGGCTAGAAACGTTTTGGGAGATAGGTCTCTCCTCAGCCAGAGTCTGCTTATCTCTTGTCGACCTCCTCCTCTCTCCACCACCCGCCCCCGCCCTGCCCCACTAGCGCAATCTGCAGTTACTACCTACAAAGTGCTCTCAGCACGGTAATAGGTGGCAGATGGCTAAGGGAACCAGTGACTACAAAGAGGGCCCGGGTTCCAACTTGGAGCGAGTCAACAACCAGCCCAAGAACAGCGCCGCAAGCACGGCTAGAAGAACCAGAGCTGGGACTCCAGTCGAGAAGGCTCAAGTCTGCCTTCTCCCCAAAGGGCTCCTCCTCTAGCCGGCCGGGATTTGTCTGAGTCCAGTGAGGGAAATGCACTCAGACCCGCAGATACCCGATCTTCTAGGGCATAAGCCAGGAGTCGGAATCGCACTCCAGGACAAGGGTCTGCGCCCGCTGCGCCCCACCAGAACTACCACCGACCGAGACCTGAGCGCTGGACCCGGAAAGGAGACTTGACCCTAAGGAATGAGGGCCTGCGGCCCGCCCGAGGCTGAAGAGAAACCGAGTCCCGAAGCTGCTCGCGTGGGAAGCTCTGCCGGAGAAGCAGCGGGAAAACGCCCTTGGCAGGGAGGGGGGCCAAACCCGGGTGGCGGGGTGCGACGGACCTCGGCGTGGGCTCACCTGTTAGTGCCTCCTGGAGAGCCCCGCTGAACACCTTCAGTCTCTGCTCGCTTACGCAGCCCCGCGTCCTCAGAAGGCTGGAGAGGAAACCCACGGCGGCGGCGATCTCCGGGAGCATATCTGTCCTCTTCCCGGTCCAGCAGGCCTGGCTCATGTCGTGCGCGGCTGCGGGGCGGCGCGGGGAGCAGTACAAGGTCTCTGGGGTACGTACCTCTCAGCCAGACGCGCTCGCTCGACCGCGGCTCGAGCTCTGAGGGACTGCACCCGGGACGAGCCTTTCATAGCCTGCCGAGAGGCGGGGCAGCCGGTGGCCAAACCCATTGGCTGCCACCAGCTGGTGGGGGCGAGGCTGGCGCTCGCCCGCCCCTCCCGTCGTGCATCACGGACCCGCCCCCGCCGCCTCCGCAGTGCTGAGGTCAGCGCCCGGTGACGTCAGTGCTGGGAACTCGAGCCGCGCGCACAGGGCGAGGGAGGCCGGAGGAAAAAGGGGAATCTGGGAGGGGCCGGAGGAGAGCGGCGGCGCCCAGTCCTCTCCAAGCTGGGAATGCCCCGACCTTTGCTCTTCGCCCATCCTTCAAGACTTAGGTTAAAGGCCACCTCGTCCAAGAAGCCATGGCTGATACCACTTCTCCCAAGCGGTCCCCTTTTCTGACATCGACATTTTCCAACCACACACTGTCAGAACCACTCACTCAGACCCTTTGTCACCATTTTACCGCTTCGCCGTGTTTCTTAACTAGTGGGAATGGGTTCCTCTTGGCTCTCCGGAAATGGGGAGTGTCTTATATTTACTTTCACAGTAATCTCCCCTCCCTCAACAAGTTCTCTTCCTCTACAGCAATGCTTTACTCTTGCCTACAAACCCGAGTCTCACCTATTTGGTGGGTGGGGTGGGGGGAGTGTTGCAAGATTTTTCTGTCCCCTCAAGTTATTTTTCTAGTTCTTACTTTTCTTTAAATGCCAATTTTTTCGAACAAGTGGTTTGCTCTCAACTACACATTATTCAATCCACTCCTTCCTCGTCTACCCCTCTCCCCCCACCCCTCATCCCTCCTTATTGTGGACTGAAGCTTTTGTAAACACGGACTCCTCAGGGGACAGAATCCAGCCTGGAAATCTCCCTCTTCCACACGCGGGACTGTGCTCAGGGCCTGGCACCTACATAGGCACCCCAGATTCTGCTGAGTGTGGTAACTTCTCACCAACATTCCAGGGGCTGGCATACATATATGTTAAAAGACACCCAATGGCCTCTGTAAGTTCTTATTTTCCTTGAACTCTGGGCCCTTCTGACCACCTTCTTCTGAAGGAAGTCTCCTTTCCTTTTTCTTGACACGGTTGCCCAGGCTTCTCTGCCTCCTTCACTGGCTGTGTCTGCCCTGGATGCCTTCCTGCCCTGGTTCCCTCACTACATCCACTCCTCTCCCCTTTTCTCTTCACTTCTTTCTACAGAGAGATTCTTTACATGCTCATTTTGATGTTCACCTTTTACAAGTGACTTTCACACCTGCACAGTCTTCATGCCCTTTTATCCTGCTCCTCCTACCACCTGCACTGTCCCTCCCCTTGGGTGTCCAGCCACCAGCTCAGTGTCGACTGAAGCCCATTTCTCTTCTCCAAAGCCAGCTCCTTCTTGACCTCCATACTGTCAGAGATACCATCATTTCCCCACTCATTCCACCCGCAAAACTTGCAGTCACTTTTGGCTTCTTATATTTTTCTCCTCAGATCCAGACCCAAGACCTGGTACGTCTTCCTATCTAGATGATTACAGTTGACTCTGTTAAATCATCTATCTGCATGTACTTGCTCTTCTTTTGCTCAGAATACCTGATACATGCCCTCTCATTTGTCTATTGCATTAAATCTTGACTCCTTTGCCTAACAGTTAAGACCTTTCATAATTTGGCCCCACATGCCTTTTTAGATTTTTGCCACTTTGTGCTCCAGGGTCACTCTCCTTACTGTTCTCTAAGCACCACACCAACTCTGCAGCCCAGAACCTTCGACATTTTGCCTGTGAGCCCCATCCCTGCCTGAATGTGCCTGGCCCTGCTGCACTGTGGCTCATGTCATAATCTCTTAGATTCCTCATTGCCTCTTTTCCACCTCCCTCAATCCCCCACACTCCTGAAGGTACAGCTTAAGCTTGGTCTTCTAGCTTGAAAACCTGCACTGACCATTCTCCACTACAGAATTAATGTTAGCTATACCACCCATTTGGCATTTATAATGAATTGTTTGGTATTGTTAGTGATGTGTAATCTTTTTAGATGTTGACATCTTGTCTCAACAGTTTGTAAGCTGCTTAAAAACAGGTTACTATTCTTATATGTCCTACATTTCCGGACAGTTCAGGTTTCAAATACCCTGCTCCACTGTTTCATATACTCATCAAAATGCTCTGGAATCCTTATATTTGGCATTGAACACATCTCCTAGCTGGCCTCTTCACCAGCTCCTCCCCAAAGCTGTATCACAGGCCAAATGAGACTCTTACCTTTGCTCATCCAGCACCTAAATCTGAAAACAATTAACATCTTTCTGGGTGTGTTGTTGACAGGAATCTGGTGTCTGGGCCTTGCTTTAATACAGAATTGAACAAAATATTGTTTTGACAGGCCATCACCTGTTTTTTGCCTTAGGAAAAAGAACTGCATCCTTATGTTATCACTCACCAGGTCATATAGCTGGTTCTCAACAGAGCCAGGATTAGGACCAGATCTGCTAACTTCAAATTAGACCATGAAGCCCCTATGCTGTTGTTGCAATAGCACATGGTCCCATGTGGTCCCACGAGCTGTTATTCCAGATGATGATGATACAACAAATTGAGGGGATGGGGATGTGCATTTTAGGAATAGTAGCAAGAAGTCCTTATTGCCGCCCTTGCCCATTACCCAGGATGTGCTGTACCTTCATCATTGGTGATTAGTTCCTGAACTTAGATGTCTGTTAGCTATTTTACAGATTTCTGTCTTTAAGCCCCTCCCCTCACCCCAGAATGAACTGAGACAGAGACAGAAATAGATAATTGTATAGAGCATAGACAATAAATAAGAACCAGAAGGCATTCCCCCTACTTTCTCATCCTCTTTTCTTTTTTCACTCAAGCCTAGATAGAAAAAAATTTATGTACCCAACTCAGGATTTGTGTTTTCAACTCAGTTTCTTTATAAGGCTAAATACATTATAGTTGTAGAAATTATTTTTGAAATTTCCTCAAATTGCCCTTAAATAGCTAGGACCAAGATCCTTAGTAGCTTAAAAGTCCCGATTTCACTTATTTTTCCTTTTGTGTGTTACTTGTCGCCTCTCTTTCCTTAGCATAGCTAGGAATAAGTAGTTTGAGCATCAGGATAAGAACAGTGGGTCCCTTCCTCCATCCCTCCCTCCTCTCCTCTTCCTGTTCTTCTTCTTCCTCCTTCTTTCCCTCCTCATTCATCTCTTCCCCTTCCCCTTCCCCCAAGAGCTTTGAGTTGAATTTTGAACATTAAATGCCCTGACATGCTGCACTGACCTGTGACTCCACCTACTGCCAAGTGGACAGGTAGTGGTGGAGTAGGGATGGATTTAAGTGTTTGCCTCATCTGGACCAGAAACTTCTGTGCCACGTGACCCCAACCCACTGGCTCCCCTGGTCATGGATGCGCACCTGTGTGGCCCACCCTAGATTGACCCACAGCATCTCAAACTGCAACTCCTCAGACCAAATCTCCACCCAGAACGGGGTCCCTCTTCTTGGGACTCAGCTCTGGCCTTGTCTGTGGAGTCATCACATATGCCTTGCCCTCCACTTCCAGTTAGGAGCAACAAGATTACTGTGTGACCCTTGTCTTTCCCAGAATCCTTTTGGGCCTGCAGAGTCTTGGTCTGGTTGCCAAGGTTACATCCCAGTCTCCTGACCACATATAGAAACCTGAGGTTGAGTAAAGCTGATGTGCAGGCAGAGGCTAAGCTGAGATATTCTGGGAGGATGACATCAGTTCACTCCTACACTGCAGTGGTTGTGTGTGTGTGTGTGTGTGTGTGTGTGTAAGAGAGAGAAAGAAAGAGTGCAAGTGAACGAGCATGGGGAGGGAGACTAGCATATAAATTTGAGTGTACATACTTAAATGTGAATGTGTGCTCTGATGTTCGTGGATAGAAGGGACTATGGATATGTGTTTGCAGATGTTAATATACACTTATAACAGTATATTGAAGGATGTCATTTTGTCAAGTGTGAGTGTTTTGGTGGGGTGTTTATTTTGGCAGGAGAGTATGTTTTGGCAGAGTATGTCTGAGTGTGGCTAGTGTAGATGCTAATTTGATCTTTTCTCTTTTTAGACCTCATTGGTGACAACCTTGCTGGGCTGCCCAGAGCTGATAAGAAGCATCACCCAGGGAAGACCAGACACCTCTTCTCCACTTCCTAATCAGGGCAGAAAGACTGCTAAATATACTCCTAGCTCTTCGCAAGCATCACTGCGCAATGTCCAGAACATCTTTTAGGGTTCCCCGTCATGTTCACACGAAGTTGTATTTTTCAGGATTGGCTCTAGGCCAGCCAGTCTGGGAGTGATTCTTTAGAATGAGAAACAGGAACCAAGGACAGAAGAAAATGACATTGTCCCTAAAACCTATTAATGACAAGTGTAAGAAAGTAGGGATGTTAGCTATTTTACAGATTTCTGTCTTTAAGCCCCTCCCCTCACCCCAGAATGAACTGAGACAGAGACAGAAATAGATAATGCAAAGATGATTGAGATTGAGAGAAATGGAAAACCACCCATCTGGACTAAAGGAAGCCTTGGTAAAAATAATATGCAAAGGGCTTTTTAATCTCCAGGTCATAATAACTTTTAAGTCCCTAAGGACCATTTCTGAGGACCTGTCAAAGGCTGGAGAAGTATTCAAAAGCTAAAAAGTAACCCATTCCTTCAGTTGTTCTGAAGATGGAAACAAAAAATAGATTCAGTTGTACAAAAAGCACCTAAGTTAGGCACCGAAACTTCCTGATAGGAAAGTAAGCATCTAGAATGTGCTAAACCCAATGCCTGCTCCAGCCAGGACTCAGACACTCTGAGGTACAGGGCATCTTTACATGGGTATTTAAAGCACCACACAGGGGATGGGGTGAAGGCTGCAGGCTTCTTCCAAGATGCATATAACCTGGGAAATAGCAGAACCTCAGTGGCTGCTCACACAATTTCCAGGTGATGAGCAGAAATAGTCATGGCAAATGCAGGCTCCACTTGCTGCCA